CAGATATCACCCTTAAACATCTTACCATCCAGCTGGGGAGCCTGCTGGGTAAAGCACTAGATTTAGTGCAGGAAAGAAATACTCAAAACCAAAATTCCCCTTTCAGGAGCGATGTGTGCTCTTGCGCTGCACTCTGTTTCAGACATCAAACCAACGCCTGGGCTGGAGACTCTTCTTACTCTTCCTGCTGGGATGTATAATAAGATGAGCTCTTCAGTGCAATCTCATAGTATTACAGAGTAGGTATTCTGTAAGCTACAGTTCAGTCAAAGCACATCAAAATGCCTGTCTCATTCCTCTTCTGGTCACCTCAAAAATGTACTCCCACCAAGCATTTCTGAAATCAATTCAGTCCAAAGCGGGAAACAACAGTCTCCTTCATGCAGTTCAGAAACTGAAGTAAAACTAGCTGCCAGGTTCCCAAGACCTGTGGTTGCTGACATTCCTCGCTCTTCTCCTTCTACCAGCCCTGCCTCTGGTTGCTTTTTTACCTGAATCTTCTAGCCAAGTCCTGGAGTTAATTTTTTTTTTTTTAAAAAAATGTTATTAATCCAGAGTTCCTCTCCTATGCAGCCAAGGCACTATCTTGAACCTTGGGTGGAAATTATAATGAGCCTGCAGTGGCTTAACGATATAAGTTTCTTTTGATTGAAAATCATGTAAACCAATCCTGACAAGCTGAATTTAAAAATAAAAAAAATTAAAAAAAGAGGAGTACAGGGAGAGAAATGAAATTTTGGGGAAGGATATTAGTATTTCATCCCAAAATTTAAGGACAAAGCTGAAAACATAAGGAATCATCTCAGTGGGGTCATGGCAACTCTGAAGCTTTTAACAAATTAAAATGCCTGCCTTGGTCTTGCTCTGATCACTTCAAAAATGTACCAAGTGTTTCTGAAACCATGTTTCATGTTAACGGCAGGAAGCAGCAGTTTCCTTCATGTAGTTCAGAAATTGAAGGCAATGAACCTTATCTCCAGAAAAGTAACTAAGCAGATCCCCAAGAAGTGAGTCCAGAGAGTGCAGTTCAGGGGAGGCATTCAGGGCGGGGACCAGGTCTAGTGGGCTCTGCTTCTATATTGGGATGGGACAGTCTCTACACAAGGAGAAATCATCATAAGCCCAGCAGCCATGCCAACAAATCTGTATATTGGCCCTTGTTTGGGAAGAATGGGCAAAGGAGACCTATCTTTGAGGCCAGGTTTTTATCAGCAGGAGTTGCCATTTTGTAAGGTGTTTATCATTATCTTCATTGTACCATTCAGTCTGACCTACTAGTTAAAATCAATTTTTATAGTCAATTCTACTTTCCTGGTTGACTTAATATCATTTCTTTCAGTTTAGCATCTATTGGTTAAACTTTAGGAGAGGCTTTCGAAATAGAATTTGGGTCCTGCCAAGGAAGATATGGAGAGCCACACTTCATGTTATTGCTTTGTCCTTGCCCAGGCCAGGATGGTTGTGAACTTTGGAGGCTGGTCCATCCCAGGCTCTTTCCTGCCTTAAATCTGAATTACTGTGACATTTATTCATTCATTTATTTGTTCATTCATTCACTCATCAAGACGTTATTATGTTGGGAACTCCATCAAGAGGTAGGGAGCCGAAACTGGTTGGCTCAGTGGATAGAGCATCGGACTGCAGACTAAAGGGTCCCAGGTTTGATTCTGGTCAAGGGCACGTACCTTGGTTGCGGGCTCATCCCCAGTATGATCAGTGTGCAGGAAGCAGCTGATCGATGTTTCTCTCTCATCGATGTTTCTAGCTTTCTATCCCTCTCTCTTCCTCTGTAAAAACTCAATAAAATGTATTTAAAAAACAAACAAACAGAGGTATGGATACAAAGATAAATTTAAAATTGTATCTGCTCTGAGGGTTTACAGGGTTTGGAAATGCGCCTGTTGTAAAGGTAATGGCTTTATAATACCAAGTGGTTAAAGCAATGCAGGTTCAGGGAGCAACACTGGCCCAGAGATGCTTACATGGCAGCATAACTGGCCCTATGGCTGTCCCCTTCCCGGGACTGAGACTGGTAGGCAGGATATCAGCCCCGCAAAGATGCCCAAGTCTTTCCCTGGACCTGTGAATAAGTTATGTTACAAGGAGAGAGGAAATTAAGCTTTCAGATTGATTAAAGCCACTAATCAGCTGACATTGAGATGGGGAGATAATCCTTGATTGTCCAGGTGGGCCAGTGTAATCACAGGGTCCTTATAACTGAAGGACAGAGGCAGCAGAGGGAGAACCAGCATGAGAAGACTGGACCTGCTGTTGCTGGCTTAGAAGGTGGTGGGGGAGGGCGACCAGTCAGGGAACGCAGGCAGCCTCTGGAAGCTAGAACAGGCAAAGGAATGGAATCTCCTCCAGAGCCTCCAGGAGGGAAGCAGCCTGACAATACCTTGATTTTTAGGTTAGTCACACTCTGAAATGACTTCTGAAGTCCAGAATGGTAAGATTATAAATCTGAATTATTTTTAGTCATTATGCTGTGATTTGTTACAGCAGCAATAAGAAAATAGAGCCAATAGGGATATGCTAGAAGGTATGAATGCTGATTATATGCAAAAAAGAAGATTGACTAGATGCGTCTTTCTAGAGCATCATTTAAAAAATATTTTCATGTGGAACAGGATAAAAAGTTGGCATTGACTTTGAAGAGAAAGCATAAGCTTTCACATTCCTTCTCATGTGTGAGCTGCCATGATCCCTGGGCTCCAGTCCCCCTGGGCTCCACAGGGTCCAAGAGATACTAATATGTCTCAGCACTGTGGTCAGAGGCTATCAGACAACTGTCACTGTTATTCTCAGCAGAATGCCGCACATTATCCTTTTCACTTGACATTTCAAAATCCATTGTCCCATAGATGCTGAACCCTGGGCTTTCATTTAGGATTTTAAAATACTCTATATCAAAGTGGAATAACAGCTAACATGTTTATAAACCTTTGGCAAACACTTCTTTACAGGTGCCTAAAACAAGCTTGTGAAGAACGGGTAATTATTCTCACTTGTCAGAGGAGGAAACAAAAGCTAGAATGATTGTCCAAGGTCAGCAGGTACCAGGTGGTCGCGTTGGCTCTTTCCGTGACATCAGGGAGGTGCCAGGCATGTCGCCGGCGGTGTTTCTCTGGGGCAGGTCACATAGTGCCAACTCCCCGGTTCGTCAAGCATCTGCCATCTAACGACTTCACAGAGCCCTGAGCCTGCACAACGGCTGCTCTTGATCTGGGTGTCGACGCTTTCATTCTGACTGTAACGCTGTAACCGGCCCCTTGTCCTGATATGACTCGGTCTTTCTCATGAAGGGATTGCATTGACAAAAGACAGCACAGACCATGTGCCAGGGCGGGAAAGGGGCTTCTGATCACTGCAAAAGGCCATTTTCATTGTGTGCCCAACGCCACTGACGTGAGCTAGGTGCAGAAAGAGGAGGAGACCGCCACTGACGTGAGCTAGGTGCAGAAAGAGGAGGAGACCGGAGTCTCCCATTCATTACTGGGGTCAAGATCAATGGCTTTTCTCAATGCTCCTCTTCACGTGACAGCAGCACATTATCTGGGCTCAGGTATCCGAGGCTGCAGCTGTGTTTGAGCGGCAAGTACCCCATGTGTACTCAAACCCTGTAGGAAGGTTTTGTTTTGTTTGTAGGTTTATTATTATTCATTAGGGTTTTATAATTACAGAGCAGGTATTTTTCTCTCCTCATTGCCTTTCTCTTACTTCAATTCAAGGTCTGTGCTTCCTATACTTTTTCAAAGGAGTCTTTCTGACCAGCCATATAAATATCACTCCCACCCAACCCCATGCTTTTAGTTCTCTATTCCTTTACCTTCTCTATTAGTTTGTTCAAAGCACTTCTCTCACCTGACATATTATTTTTTCTTTTTCTTTTTTTTTCTGTTTCCCCTGCCACAGAGCAGATGTGATACCTCCTTTGTTTGCTGTTGTATCTAGACAAGTGCCTGACACTTAGTAGAGCTCAGTAAATATTTGTTGAATTACTGAATTCTTTAATCTATCCTACTGTTTAGCACCATCTCCAACCTGTCGTATGAGACCCTAGTAAAATAAAAAGGAAGAAGTCATAGCAAAGTGGGGTAAAACCTTAACTTACTTTTCTGCAGTCCGAGTTTCTAGCTTCGGATTGACTGATTGGTTGGGGAAAGGGAAGGATCAGAATGGGGAGACTTTGGACTTGGGGTTGGAAGCCTAGAGTCAGAACTGCCCTTGGTCCTTGAGTGGCATGCCCACGCCTGACCCTGGGGAGAACCGATTCCTGCAGGGACTGCCCTCCTGCAGATAGAAGTGAATGGTCACAGCATATCCACTTAAGAAACGCAAAGGCTTTGGTTAGTTTATCATTAGTTCGGTGGTAGGAGATGGTAGAGAGAAGCTGTGAGTACACTTTTTTGAGATCCAGTGATTTTTTTACAAGTTTTTTCTAAAACTAGTAATAAATAAGGGCAGTGGAATAAATCCTTCTATATCCCAGTACATTCGTGGGGTTTGGGTTCATAACTTTTGTAAAGTCTACTGGAAAACTTCCAGTTATTGCCTAAGGTCTAGATCAATATCGCCTTTTTCTAGGAAAGATTTTTTGACAAATTCCACGGATGGGTTAGTTCTTCAGGGTTAGTTCTCCGAAAGCCACCAGCCTGCTTTATTCATATTGCTGACATTGGTCTCTTAACCTGTTTGTTGAAATGACTATTCGTTAAAAGAAAAGAAAAAGAAAGAAGTAAATGACTATTTGTTAAGTGATGTCCACTGACAGCTCTCTCTGAGCACTAGGAAGCCAGAAATCATCTCATCACACCTCAGATCTCCAGTGTCCAGCTCAAGTGCCTGACACACTGTGGCACTCAGTGAATGCTGGGAAAATAAACAAGTGAAGACATGAACAAACAAGAGACTACAATCCAGCCACAGCTCTCTCATTGTTAGCATTTGGACCTCCTTCCTGGGGAAACTATATGAATATGTTCTTCCCCTCCATTCAGGCACTCTGATGGTTCTGAAACATCCCTATCCAAGAAAAGTGGAAGAACCTGCCATTTATGAATCAGTCCGGGTTCACACAGCAATGCAGACAGGAAGAACGGAAAATGACCTGGTGCCCACTGCGCCTTCGGTAAGTGGCCATCAATCTGACACAGCTTTCTTGCTGTCCAATAGCAATAAAGTGCAGTAAGAGCAATATACTTTCAAAGTATGTTTGCTTACATAAAAATTCTCACTTGAGATATAAAGCCTGGAAAGGAACATAAGGTTTGAAGCTTATGACTCAGTTTATCTGCTTCAGCATAAATCACTAAAAAAAAAAAATGCAATGTGATTATTGAGAGGATCTTAAATACTTTGATTATAGCACTTAAATCTCCATCCTCTCTTAGTCAAACTAGTTCATGCTAGAATGGGTGAGAGGTATTCAAGTTCACATGGTTGACTGAAATATTCTTCTTCAACAAGTTTCTAAAATAAAGAAAATAGCCGAAATTGGTTTGGCTCAATGAATAGAGTGTCGGCCTATGATCTCAAGAGTCCCGGGTTCGATTCTGGTCGGGGACATGTGCCTTGGTTTCGGGCCCATCCCCTTGGGAGGTGTGCAGGAGGCAGCTGATCGATGTTCCTCTATCATTGATGTTTCTAACTTTCTGTCCCTCTCCCTTCCTCTCTGTAAAAAATCAATAAAAATATATTTTAAAATAAAAGAAAATATAAAATAAAAGAAAAGAAAATAAAGAAAACAAATTTCTTTACATTTCAACTGTATATGGAAGAAAACTACTTTTCAAAAATATTGTACTGCAAACCCTGGGGATTTTTTTTCCTAGCCATTTTTTCCTTCACTGGAAGAAGGGCACAGACAGAAAACACCTGCCCTTCCCTGTAGCAGAGCCGTCGCACAGTCTGAGCACATCCAGAGCACTCACTGTTCCTGAGAGTCCACTTCTGTTTGTTCTGTGAGCTGTGACCCTGCAAAGTTTCCTCCCCAGCACCCTCTGCCCTACATAATGCTCAAGGCTCCTCTATCCTCTTTCTTTTTGTTTGCTGACTATTCCTGGAATGAGATCTCTGGGTTTGTGCAGATAATAAAGAAGACAACACACAAATGAAACAACAAGAACTGATTCTAGATAGCAACCATTACACGTGAGAAATATTCACTTGGAGACATTCAGCTATAATTCTTTTAGAATATGTGTGACCTCTCTGTCTCTGCAGCACTTTTGCTACTCTGCACCAAAGACATCTCTCCTAAAAAACAGATTCACCGCATACCTTCCTGTTAACATCCTTCTGTGGTGTCCACGGTCTTCTCAGCTGGCCTGGACCCTGCTCACACCTCTGGCCTCACCTCAGGCTGTGCCCACACTCACACTGTGGAGCCTGTCTCTCTTAACAACATGCATTTCTGATTGTCTCCGCCTTCCTGCCCTGCATCTGAAATGCTACCAATGCCACACTGTCTCCTCATTTTTCAGGACTTGCATCAGGGATCAGTATCTTCCAGAAAGATTTCTGAGCTTCTCCTAGTTTCCTGTAAAATGTCCCACTTCTGTGCTTCCAAGCACCCTCTGTTTGCCTTTATTCCGGACTCGCCATAACTACCTCCAGCAGCCTGGCCCTTCTCAGGAGAGGAATCCTAGCTTGTAGCGTAGCTTTACCGCCTAGCCAGGTCCACAGCACACATTGCATTCTTGTCACGAAGCTGCATCTACTCAAAAGTAAGATTCTGCAAATTGGTTGAGAAAGGTATTTTAGCTTTGTTAAGAGTTGAAGGAAGAAGCATCAGACCTCAGAACTAAAGAAATTTGGGAAAATAAGACAAATCATCATCATATCAAAGAACAAATCAAGACATATCTTTTAATTCTTTTGTTTGTTTGTTTTGTTTTCCCAGTAGCACCCATCATTCTTAACTTTCTTCTTTACCCTTTCTTACTCCAGCGCCTATCATTTCACCATCTCATTCACTTGTGGTCTCAGTTTAACATCACATTCTCTCCTTTACCCTTCTCCTAAAGATCTTCATTCAAGGTCAGTTTTACCATACTTTATGTGTGTGGTATCAATAGTAAAATGCAGGTAACACCTGATTTGAAGAGTTGGTGTGAGCATGAGAAGTAGAGAGAAGCAGATCACTTTAGACCAAAACCTGGAAGCCTTATTACTTACCTCCTTTGCTCACTCCAAGTGTCAGATGATTTACCTGCCCAAATATCTAAATATGATCATATGTAGAAGGTTCTGCATAATGGAGTTTTTAAAACAGTGGTGAATGAATGGTTGAGAATGACTGCCCTCACACTATGTAATCAGAAGTCCGTGAAGTTTTCTGTGCATTCATATAGACAGAAAATTATAAAGTGTTTCTAGTGGACTTAGCTGGTTTGGCTCAATGGATAGAGTATTGGCCTGGGGACTAATAGGTCCTGGTTCTATTCTGGTCATTGGCACATGCCTGGGTTGTGAGTCTGAACCCCAGTAGGGGTTGTGCAAGAGGCAGCTGATCAATAATTCTTTCTCGTCATTGATGTTTCTATCTCTCTCTCCCTCACTGAAATCAATAAAAATATCTTTTAAAAACAAAGGGTTTCTAATGGATACTGAAGTATCTCTTATTAGTCCTCACTAGAGAGGAATTGATAACTGGACCAGCTGGTTGGATCGGATGCTCTTGTCCCTTACTGAACATGAGTTATCAGCCTTCAGTGTTGTCCCCAATGCCAACATGATACTGTATCACCATCTCCAGACTGAGAGCTCTGAGGGCCTCCAGACTTCTATCTTCCCTTTTTGGGATGTAGGTCTTTCATAAGCTTTAGCAGTAGAGAAAGAAAATTAAGTCATTTTACAGAAAAAAAGAACTTCTTGCTTGAAGTGAAAATGAAAACAGATATCCCATTGCCCAGAAATGTAGATGGTTGTGTAACATTGTTAACATCCTTTGGCAACTGCATTTGGGGAAATTACTATTTGTCTATTTTATAAACAACATAGGGTTGGGTTCCTGAGATAGGATAAAATTTAACTAATTTGCTTATTTAAAGTTTTTTCTCTTTTAATTCACTTTATTGGGGTGACTGGTTAATAAAATTGTATAGGTTTCAGGTGTACAATTCTGTAATATGTCATCTGTATATTGTATTGTGTGTCCACTTCTACCTCCACCAGTCCCCTTTCCCACTGATAATCACCATGTTGTCTATGAGGGGTTTTGTTTTGTTTTATCTATTCACCCTTTTCACCGAACCCCTCAACCCCAGTCTGTTCTTTGTATCTATGAGTTGTTTCTATTTTGTTTGTTAGTCCATTAGATTCCAATATAAGTGTAATCATATGGTCTTTCTTTGACTTACTTCATGTAGCATAGTACTCTCCAGGTTTATCCATGCTATTGCAAAAGGTAAGATTTCCAACCTTCCTTCCTTCCTTCCTTCTTTCCTTTCTTCCTTCCTTCCTTCCAGAAGAGTAGTTAGTATTCTATTGTGTAAATATACCATAGCTTTTTTATCCACTTATTTACTCATGAGCACTTGGGTTGCTTCCAAATCTTGGATATTATAAATAATGCTACAATTAACATAGGGTTGCATATATTCTTTCAAATTAGTGTTTGGAATTTCTTCGGACATATTCCCCAAAGTGGAATCACTGGATCATAAAGCAGAGACAAGACTTACTGAGGGATTGAATGCACTATGTTAAAGAAAGAGCAACAGGGTAAACACTTCTCCATTTACTGAGATGGCTAAGGGGATAGGAGAAGTGGGTTTTGAACCTGGGAAATGGAAAATGCCAATTAGTTGTGTGGGTAGAGATTAAGTGACATAATATAATCCAAGTGCCTAATATAGAATAGGTCCTATCTAAAATACCAGCTTCATTGCTTTTCTTTTGTGGTACTTGACATTTTTAACAACTTCCTTCTAAAATTTCCATTCCCTTTGCTTCTGCAATAAACGTTCTCTCTTTAATCTGTTATCTCTTTAACATTTTTCATAATTCTTTTTCTTTGACACTCACTCCCTTGTATGTTTGCCTTTTTAATATTCTGTCTTTGGAGCTCTCTCACAGTTAACAATTTTGTGTTGATTTTTCTAGCCTTTTCCTTGAATAAGATTATATATACAAACAAATATTATATATATATAAAACAAATAGAATTTATATAATGATCTCTTCATTGTAATTAGTTACAGTGTGCTTGTTTAATTATCTATGGAATCTCCCATGTCCTTACATAGTCCCTAAAACATAATTAAAACAAAATTCCTAAATATTCCAATATTGGGATATATCGTTTTTATTTAGTTAATCCTCTATTGTGTTCTTACATTCTGTTTTTGGTGGTTGTTCAAGATTTTTTTAAAATATACATGCTATTTGTTATTTTAAATCATTTCAAATTTACAGAAAAAAAATTGCAAGAATTGCAAAAATTATGATACATAAGAATAAACTTAAAATGGATTAAAGACTTAAATGTTAGATTCAAAACCCTAAAATCCTAGAAGAAAATGTAGGCAGTAACATCTCAGACATTTCTTGTAGCAATATTTTCACTGAGCAAGGAAAACAAAAGAAAAAATACACAAATGGAGCTACATTAAATTACAAAGATTTTTGCATAATGAAGGAAACCACCAACAAAATAATAAGACAACCCACTAGAATGGAAGAACATATATGCCAAAGATGCAGAGAAGGGATCACCTCATGCACTATTGGTAGGAATGCAGATTGGTGCAGCCACTGTGAAAAGCAGTATAGAGTTACCTCAAAAAATTGTTAATATGACCCAGCAATTCCACTTCTAGGAATATATCTGAAGAAACCTGAAACACTAACTCAAAAGAATATATCTACTCCTATATTCATAGCAGCATTATTTACAATAGCCAAGTAGGAAACCTTACCATTTGCAACAGCAAGGATAGACCTGTAGAGTATTGTGCTAAGTGAAATAAGCCAGTCAGAGAAAGTCCATATAATTTCACTTATATGTGGAATATAATGAACAAAATAAACAAACAAAATAGAAACAGACTGATAGATACAGAGAACAAACTGACAAATTTCAGAGGGTTGGGGGACTGGGTGAAAAGGCGAAGGGATTAAGCAAAGGAAAAAACCTCATAGACACAGACAACAACATGATGATTATCAGAGGGAGAGGAGAGTGGGGAGGTAGAAATGGAAAAGTGGGGATAAATGGTGATTTGGGGTAGTGAACACACAATGCAATATCCAGATGATTGCATTGTACACCTGAAACCTATATAACTTTATTAACAAATGTCAGCCCAATAAATTCAATAAAAAAAATTTAAAAAAGGATAGTACAAAGAAATCTGTTTGTTCCTGAGCCATTTGAGAGTGGTGCCCCATCACCCCAATCAGTGTGTATTTGCTACATACAAGAACATTTGCCAACATGACCACATACAGCCACTCAAATCAGAAAACTAACATTGCTACAGCACCACTGTCCCATCCACGGATTTCATTCGGGGTTCGCCAGTTTTCCCAATAAAGTCCTCTACAGCAAAAGGGTTCAGTCCACAATCACAGGTGGTATTTATGTGTCCCAGTTCTTGAGTATTCTTCACTCTGAACACTTCCTCAGTTTTTCCTTGATTTCATGACTTTGGCACTTCTGAAAATTAAAGGCCAGTTATTTTGTTAACTATTCTTCAACTTTGATTCGTCTGATGATGCCTTGAGATTAGATTCAGGTTTTGCATTTTTGGTAAAAATACAGCAAAGGTGATATCTGCACTTCTCGGTGCATCTGCTCAGGTGGAACATAATTTGGATTTGTCTCATTGAGGTGTGTTTGCTTGCTTGAGTAGGTGGTAACTGCCAGGTTTCTTCACTTTGAAATCACTTTATTCAATTTTTCATTAATAAATATTTTGGGAGAGGCTGAAACTAAGTAAATATCCTATTTCATTAAACTTTATAAAAATATTTTTTATTGATTTCAGAGAGGAAGAGAGAGGGAGCAAGAGATGAGATAGAAATATCAATAATGAGAGAGAATCATTGATTGGCTCTCTCCTGCATGCCCCCAACTGGGGATCGAGCCGGCAGTGCAGGCATGTGTGCTGATCGAAAATCGAACCATGACCTCCTGGTTCATAGGTTGATGCTCAATCACCAAGCATATCAGCTGGGTAGTTTCATTAAACTTTTATCCATCAATTTAGCATCCATAGATATTTGTTGGCTATTTATTACTATATCGTTGCCAAATGGTGATTCTGTGATGGTTTTCCTTTTACATACATAGGTTGTCATTCTACTATAAGAAAAAGCTTTTTATTTTCTGAATCTCTGCAATCATTTATTTTTATATCAATGTTTATAATCATGACTATCATTATTTATTTTGATCCTTTACATTTTCCCAGATTGGCCAATAAGAACCCATTCGAGGTGACATCTATGTCATTATAGCTTCATAATTCTTTGAGAATGTTCTTACTTTCTGGTATAGCAAAAATGTTCCACACTTATCCTGTACGTTCCTTACATCCATATCTAAAATCAGCTATTTCTCAAAGAAATTCTGTTCTTCTTTTTCTGGAGCATAGTAATTTAGAAGCCAAGACTGGGTATCATGCTTATTGTTATTAGGTTGTCACTCTCCCAGCCTACTCTGAGAACAGAGCTAGCAAAAGTATATATTATATAACAATGTACACATACCTACATTGATATCTATATTTATTTCTACTTCTATTTCTATATATACCTCTCTACATATATTTATATATATACACCTATCTATCTACCCATCAGCTATCTATGGGTTCCTGCCAATACCTCCAATCCTGATCCAGCACTCTAAGGCTCATTCTAGTTTTTCCACTTTTCATATTTGTAACTCCCTTCTCCCACAGTGAGGAATATAGTCCCCCATTATCTTCAACACACGTATGTGTGACCAATCAAATGTAGCAATATCCTATTGCCCAGGAACCACTGCCTGGCCCTCACCTCAGATGCTCTCCTTTAGCCTGATTTGGCTCTAAAACTAAGCCTTGTCTGCCACCTGCAAACCCCCCAGGCAGAGAGCCCTCCTCAACTGCCAGGTTTCAACAGGAAATCCCAAACTATTGCAGCCGCAGTTGTCCACACAGATGCTCTCTGTATCCTGCATGGTCCCTCCCTGTTCTGGGGTGCAATGCCCTCACATTGATGCCTACTTGCTCCACCCTCCCAGTGACTTTTGACTCAAGTGAAGGCAGGCACACAAGCAGATAAAAAGGATGGTAGGAAGACTCATCCTTTATTTTTAAACATTTAGGTGGTTTCCAACTTGGGACACTTATAAATATCTTTCCTGCTACAGATCACAGATCTTTTAAAAGATAAATCTGCTATATAATTATTTCCTTTCTTGCCTCCTGAGAACATGAACAAAATTAATATTCTCAGCTCTTCCCTCTGCTGCTTTCCACTTATCTACCAAAACCTTACAAAAATCCTAGATTTATAGCACATTGCTTGGATGGAGGTAAGATGAAGTGGGTAGCTTGATTTCAATGAACAATTTTTTAAGGGCTTTCTAGATAACAATTTACCCTTAATTATTTTGCCTGCAACAACACAAAATCTTAAATTTTTTTGCCATTTCCATAATATAACAACCAAACTAGGTTCAGTCACTTCAATTTCCTTTAAATGCCAAAATAAATCAAACCGATTATGCTAAATGAAATTCACCAATATTGTTTAATATTATTTAAATGAACACTTGGGAAGTTCATCATTACTTTAATACCATAAGAATGTTAAAAGAAGTGGTGATATTTATTTGGTGCTTTAACTCTTTTTACTGTGGTGGTAGTTGTTCCTCTTTTTATTTGGAGGGAGAATTTACCTCAAGAAGAAATACTCTGGAAACTCCCATAAAAAGAACCTTGATGTCAGCTGTTATTTCCCAATTTTTACTCACTTTTTCCTTACTAATATGAGATATATCATAACATCATATTAGGACAAAATGTCCTACCAGGAGTTCAATTCTTGCTGAAACATACATTTCTTCATCTTAGGGTTCTTATTTTATGCAAATTTCTATTACTACAGCCCCTTATCATTTGTTACATTTTATAGTTGCTAGGGAAGTGTATGCTATTATTACCATTGAATTAATGATGTATGTGTTAGTAGAAATGACTCATTCTCACTTCCAATTCCTTTTGGATGAATCAAGTATAAATAAACCTGCATTCCAGGAAGTCTGCTCCATGGAATACAGGTCTCCAAAGATGAAAAACTGAAGAGGGGTTTGGTGGAGGATTATGCAATAAAATAAATATTGGAGTGGTATTTTCAACATTCCCTTTTAAAAAGTCACATTAGCACAATAAAGACTTCGGGAAGCACGGAAATGAAGAAATTCCTTCATTTTGCTCAATCCAGTTTCCCAAACCGGTTGACACCATCCCCCCAACCTCCCCCCCCCCCGCCCCCACCTCAGTGTGTGCGTGCATGCCTGTGTGACTAATACCCTGCAGCAATCCAAGCAGCTGGGTTTCAGAGGACACACTTGGCCCAACACTGGCTTTTATCAGGGGTATGATGTGGTTTATTGTTTGCAAATAGCCAAGTCCTGTCAGAAGGGAGTATTTCAGTCATTGCCTGTTGCTACTGAATTATGCAAGACAATCCAGCCTGATAGTCTCAAACAACAAAGGAAGGATTTCCAAGGGCCTAGGTGAAGAATGAAAGGTGATTATTTAAAGATCAAAGGCAAATGTGTTTTATTTAAAGACAGGACAGGAATAGAAAGACAAAGATCATGTTGCCATGGTTCTGGGCTTCACTCGGTGCTTCTCTCTTTTCCAGCTGGGCACCAAGGAAGGTTACCTCACCAAGCAGGGAGGCCTGGTCAAGGTAAGGAGGCATGCGTTTGCTGGTGCCAGCCATGAAGAAAGACAGCAAGCATGTCATGGAGACTCAGTTCTCACTGTGACCCTTCTTAAAAGCATAATTGCCTGCTCATTTCAACCTAGTTCTAAGATTTGCCTGTTTCAAGGGTTCATCTTAATGGCCAATGTTAACTAAAATTCTGGAAAATTACTTGACTATTTTCTGGCAGAGCCAAATGTATCAGAGTAGCCTACAGTTAATACTCACGAAAGCAATACAATCCTTTTTTTAATGGAATGATGGAGGAGGAGGAGCAAGTTACCTCCAGCATATTTATATAAAAACATTTTATTAACAAAGGAGTTAAAATTGTATAAAATGTTAGCTAAAAGTGGACAAAAACCATCACTGGCATTAATGTAACTATGTTGTTTGTATTTTAAATCCCAAAGAAAACACAATTTAGGACTTGACTACCCTTGGGTATCTAACTGTCCCTCCATTTATGTGGTCATATTTTTTAAGTTACTCTTTTATTTTACTGTGCCAAGAGGACCTTCATGTACTATCTCTACCCTTCCTATTTTAAGAGCCAGGGCACTCTCAAGGGTACTTCCCTGCTTGAATTGAACCTACATATTTATTTAGTTATTTGTGTCCCTACTGGACTGGATGCTCCCTGAGGACAGGAAATACTCATATTCACAGCAGGTTTATTTTTAAATCCGTTGTAACCAGGCACCTTGGCACTCAGGAAAAGATTAGGAAAAAAAAAAGTTCAGTTAGTAAACAAAAAGATATGAGGAACAACAGTTTTTGCCATCAATGCTATAGAATTCTTAGGCAAAGTTTAGAGTGCTGTGTAGTTAAGGTTCCTAACCCTCAATTTGCATATTTGTAAAACAAGAATAATAATAGTTGGCATTATATGAGAATTGGCTGTAATATATGTAAACCTTCAAGGATAGTATGTCGCCCGCAGCAGATGCTCAAAAAATGAAATGTATTCTTCCTATAACAGAGTTAATAAGATGAAAATGTTAGTGTTTGTTACAAAACACCTTGAATATTTACAGTAAGCTATTTTTTTATTTGTTTAAATATGCTAACATATCCTTGCCTTACTATGAGCTTAATGCACAGAATCATTGTAACTTTGTAGGTATTTTGAAACTTTTTATCAGAAATGACACCACAAGAATATTTTCTTTTTTGTAAAACCCTAACCCTAACCCTATACAAGCATATTTTCTTGTATCTAATCTTTTAGACCATTTTTTAATCAAAAGGAAATTATCTTGTTGAAATACTGCATTTCTGTATTCCAAACCTCCATGATGTGATTATTTCTTTCTCAGACCTGGAAAACAAGGTGGTTCACTTTGCACAGAAATGAACTGAAATACTTCAAAGACCAAATGGTGAGAAACATAATAATACATTTTCCCTTTAAAAATCAGCTCTCTAGATGAAAGGAACATCGGCTTTTAAAATCCCTAAAGTTTTCCTTATGAACACCTGAAACACCTAATAAATCAGTGGAGAGGTAAGTTCTTGACTCCTGATATGAGCCAAGTTATTTTTGGCAAAGACGAGATGTGTGTCCCAGGAACTGCTCTTTGGGACCAGCTAAACCAGGGCAATAGAATCCCTTTCCTGCCACAAAGTATTAACTGCCTTTCACATCGATTTCTCCCTCTATTAAAAGTATGTTGAGGTCCCATATCCATTTCACTAAACCAATTTAAATTTATTTTGTTTCTACTCACTTCCCCAGAACAACATTTCTGAGAAAGCAGAAGTTTAAAAACGCAAGAGATGCCCTCACTGGTTTGGTTCAGTGGATAGAGCATAGGCCTGCGGATGGGAGGATCCCAAGTTTGATTTCGGTCAAGGGCACATGCCCAGGTCGTGGGCATGTAGGGGGTGTGCCTGAGGCAGCTGATCAATGATTCTCTCTCATTATTGATGTATCTATCTCTTCTTCTCTGAAATCAACAAAAATATATTTAAAAAAATAAAACTTAAAACCACAAGAGAAACATGATACCCTTCCATATGTTAAAATCCATCTCCCTCAAATTAAAATTGGTAAATCAGTGTCCTCTTAGTGCTCCGTAGGCCAACTTCCAAACCAGGATGATGTTACTTCCCTTAGTGGGTTTTCTATTATCCATCCCCTTGATGGAAGGGAAATTGACAGTTACACATGGTGGAGGATTTGTTAGGGAAATAAATGATGAACAGATCTGTGTTTTTTATGATGACTTAGGTTGCTTTTCTTTCTTTTTCTTTCTTTTTTTCCTTTAAGTCACCAGAACCAATTCGGATCCTAGACTTAACAGAATGTTCAGCTGTACAGTTTGATTACTCACAGGAAAGAGTAAACTGTTTTTGGTAAGTTGTTTTATAAGGGAAATGTTTTTAAAGTCTCTTTGTCAGGCGTTTTAACTGAGGAATAAGAAACTATGTCTTAATGTGTACAAAGGTTTTGATGTGGGTGGCGTGGGTGTAGTCATTACACACAAGGCATTTTTGTCGGGAGTGCACGTCTGACAGGTAACATTTGATTGGGCTGTGCTCTGCCCAAGTGTGATAGGCATAAGGGGATGAAATTCACCTTAAATAGCTTTATTCCTTCTGAGTTTTTCCCTCATTTATAACTTTGTTAACTCCAATGATAGTTTGGCAGTTTCTGGGAGATGACACAAAAGTGTTTTGTTCTAACATAATCAGTCTAGCAAGACAATTTTCTAACTGGAAGAAGTCAAGTATCTTGAGAAAGAGGTATCTCATTTACCACCAATTTTTATTTTAAAATTTTCAAGCATACAAAAGTTGAAAGACGTATAACCCATGTATCCATCACCTAGATACATCAATTGTTAACATTTTACCATACTTGCTTTATCTCCATCGAATCACATTTTTACCTGAACCAATGGAAGGTAAATTGCAGACACTATGAACACAATCCCTAAATACTTCAAGATACATCTCCTAAGAATAAAAGTGTCACTGCTACAACTACAATGCCATTATCACACCTAAAAAACTGACATTAATTCTATAGTACCAACCAAGAGTAGACATCTTCAAACATTTGCATAAAGGAATCATATGAGCTAGCAGAAATTTATATTTCTCATATAACAAAGTCCTAGGAGGCAGACAGCTGTCTTGACAAGGTCAGGTCCTGTGCCTCTACAGTTTTGTTGGCCCTTTCCTCATGCTTGCTACTCCAGAATTTATGTAAGTCATGAGAGAAGATGTAGGGATGGCATCAGCAATGCCTGTCCATTTTTATCCGGAAGGCAGGTATTTCTCCAGAAAGTCTCCTATCAGATTTCCCCTCATATCTCATTGGCCTAGACTGGGTCCCACGGCTATTGCCAGCAGCTGAGGAAGCAAGAAAAAGGGTTCTAGCATCATTATAATTGGCTTCCACTAATTATAACTTGTCATCTAACTAACTCATGGCCATGGAATTCTGTTGGTAAGAAGAAAGGAAAATATCTGTATTAATAGCCAAGTAATAATGTCTCCCACAGGGAATACCAAACAATGATGATTCCAGAAGCCAGTTTTGTATAATGTGTGTACAATGTCATTCCCTCCCTCCCACATGGCCCACTCACCCCTCAACTGGACCTAGCACCGAGAACTGACACAAGAACTGACTTCTCATCTAATCAGCATTAATTACTGATGTAAACAGAATATGCTGTTGGAGCTTTAGAATATAGAAACCATTCTGAATTTAAGTACAAGGCTTTTTTTTTTTCCCATGAAAGAGAAAAAGATGTTTGGTATTTTGCATCTCAGCTGTAAGCACAGGAGTTTGGGCGAGATGTAAGCTAAGGCTGACCTTATTGGTCAAATGATTTTGACTCTGGTCAAAGAGACAATCAAATGAAAAACTATCACATATTAGAACAAGTCTTTTGTGCATAGTAGGAAAGTTCACCTTCCCTCCAGCTGAGACTAACTCATGGCCAGAGATGGGAAGAAGGACTAGCTAAATTGGTTTCATTGTCTTTTTCTCCCCGTCTTAAATAACTAACACTTCCTACATCCACGGGGAAGAGGGGGGGGGAGGGGGTGCGTTTTTCTCATTGAAGCAAGCTAACCCAAATGAGTTCCTTCTTTCAACTCTTCTCTATCTTGCATGTTCTTTGAGTCATAGCACAGGTTCTGAATAATTTTACGGATCAGCCGAATAAACCTGGAAGTGTTGTGTTCAGTCTAAGACAAAAGGATATGGGGGTGTCCTGGACATATTTTCCTCTTCTTTGAATTCTCATTAAAAAATGTAAATCTAGCCCATAAGGATAACATGAATCTTATGTCAAATACCCTTGGCATTTCTGCAGAGTGCTGGCAGGAATAGCAGGTTGCTTCCCCAGGCCCTTGGTCAGTTCTTGTTTTCTTGGAGTATTCTAATTAGTATTTAACTAATACATATTCAGCTCACCACCTGGAGTGTCTTACCTTCTTTCTTTTGTCCTATCAGCTTAGTATTTCCATTCAGGACATTTTACCTCTGTGCAAAGACAGGAGTAGAAGCTGATGAGTGGATCAAGATATTACGCTGGAAACTGGTGAGTTAAATTATGCTGAGTGGATGCCTAGTACTCAGAAATAACATGGCAATAATTTAAGACATATTTCTTTTGAATGAATCAGACAATTCTGAGACTCACTGGGATATCTACTTGCAGGGCTTGTGAAATAGTCTGTTCATTCTTTTGGGACAAGGAAGGGCTGCAGAAAGAGATAAAAAGAGAAAGGATGGACTGCACTGGGGTCTCAGCCCCAGAGCCTTCGCCTTGCACCTGAGTGTCTATCGTTCTTCCTCTAAGTGTGCAGGCTTGGCCAATTTTGCCTGGAGGAAGACAAGTGGGACCAGGGAGTTAGACAGAGGAAAGTTTACGTATTTCTATAGTAGAAAATTCTTTTAAATTGCCAGAGAAGAAAGCTTGCCCTGGGTACTTAGCTTAATTTTCAGCATAAGCATACTTTCTCCATGTCAAGGACAAAAGGTGATTTAACTGCTTCATATATACCTCCCAGGGGAAATATGGAATGCTTGTAAAACCATATCAGTCTCATACATTTTTCATAGTAAGTATTTGTAAGTTAGTGATCTGCTATCCCAGAACTTGGCCTTAAAGCTTTCTAAAATTTCCTGTAGACATATTATCTTGAAATCATAGATGTTTTCAACATAAACAAATTTTCCCAATTAAGTTTTTATGAAATTAGTTGATAATTAGAATCTTGTTGAAACTTCCTTTCTAGATACTGGAACTTTTGGTTTGGTTATCTTTTCTGTTTGAAATCTAAATAAATATACCACTCATTTGAGATGGTTCTAATGTATTTGATATTGAGTGGGAAATACTTTGCCATATGGAAACTTTGCTGAGATATGAATGAATGAATGTCTTATTTTTCCAGTTTTGTAATTATGAAAGCAACATATAATCATTATAGAAAAATTAAGGTTAAAAATACATCAAATGCACATAGTTTCAGACTTTTCCCTATGCCAATAAATATTTTAAAACAAAATCTAATAATTCTTTAGATGTCTGTCTTCTTTGGATTCATTTACTAGTATTGCACTTTATAGATAAGTATAAATATTTGGCCAATTCCCAATATGCGCAAGTTTGAGCAACCACTTTACTATAATTCTCCTGAAAAAAAAAAAAAAGATTAAAACTTGGGGAGGGAGCACATGATAATTAATTTATAGTTGCATGGTTTTCTTACTAATCAGCATGTCTTATTTATTATTTGTTCAAGCCAGAGTTCGTTATTATAAAATTGCTCGATAATTCATAACATGTATGTGCATTTTATTACAGTCTCAAATAAGAAAACAGCTGGACCAAAGGGAAGGCACAATCCGATCTCAGTCGTTCATCTTTAAGTAGACCTTTCCCTGGGCATGCCTTGGCCCAACAGCAGGGTGGCCTGCTCGCCACTGCTGTGATCCATAGCAGGCCTCCGCTGAAAGCTGACTATGGATTTTTCTTTAAAAACAAATCAAAAGCAGATGCTGACCAGGATCTTTCTGAACACACCACATTTGCTGACTCAGGGGAAGCTGCTGCCCTTCAAGATGTTGTCATCTCCTTCAGAATACCGAGTCGCCACCGTTGTTCTGATGAAAACTGGCGCAGCTAGCTGCCACACCCAGTGTGCTCACTCGTAGAACGCACAACAGAAGAGACAGGGCATGTGTTTTCCCTTATCGTGGTCCAAGCTTGTGGACTTTGTTTGCCCGAGTCCCACTGTGTCGTGGTCAGTTTATCTGACATCCAGGTTGTGCTATTACTCAGGAAGGAAACAGCTGTCTGCTTTGAGGCTCAGGCTGCCTCTTTAGAAAGTATATTGAGATAGAAAACATCAAAGATTGGGTTGGGCAGGGGGAAATAGAGTTATTCCCACTTCCCCTTTATACAAAAAAAAAAAAAAACAATTTCCAAAACTGTAATAGATAATGTTTGCAGTATTTATTGTCTCTTTGTAAAAGGCTCAGAGTCTGGTGGGTTCTTTCTTCCCTTCTATTGATAAACCTGTGAGAACTAAATGTCTTATGGATGACTAGGTAGAACCATAAAGGAAGATATAATTTAAAACAATATCCTTTAACCATTTTGGAGAAAATGTTTTAAAGAGTAAGGAAACAAAAAAGAGGAAGGTTAATAATGTAGCAGAAGACATAGTTTAATGATAATAGTATTATAGTTATTGCTATAACAACAATAGAGCACATGTGAGCACTAAGGTATCTTCATCCAACATTTCTCCAAACAGACTGCAAGGGCTTGCTCAAGAAAAGTGTGCTACAGCAGTTCCCTCCCCAGAGTAGACTGTAGGTGTTGGCCCAAGAGAAGTAAGAATCACCAGGCACCGAGATGACTGAGCATCCTGCGCCTTATTCAAGGGCAACTTCTGTTGTCAGTTGAGGGAGCAATACTAAGTCCACATGCAATGTATAATGGTGTGTTTGTTACATAGCATTTTCAGACTAGCATAAGGAGATCGAAATAGGGGAATGCAATACTGCCATCCAAAGCTCATAAATACCCTGTTTCCCTGAAAAATAAGACAGTGTCTTATATTAATTTTTTCTCCCAAAGTTGCACTAAGTCTTATTTTCAGAGGATGTCTTATTTTCGGGGAAACACAGTAGATTCTATTATCTTTCTTAATACTCCCCCCACCCATTTTTTTTTTTTTTTTAGCTAGAAGTTTGAAGGGAGGGGAAGTAGAGGAAGAACCCCCAAATACAAAGATTATGGTGCAAAGCTATAACAATGCTCTTTCCGTCCAAAGGAACAGCATGGTAAATTAGCTTTTCTGTTAATTTAAGTTTCTAGGTCTCAGGAAGTTTTGTATATTTAAAAAAGATGTTTAGTATATTTTGTAATGTTTGTATCATATTAGATAAAGCAAATGTCAAGTTAAAAGGTATTATGTTACATTTTCAAAGTAAGGAGTTACAAATGAATCCTTACTGAGATGTATGATTTTATGTGTTGTGTTCTCAGAACCAAGGGTGTTTCTTTATGTAGGCAATGTCATTTTTTACCTACTGTAAAATATCTCATGTTTATTTATATTCTTTGGTTATGTTTATTAAAAAGAACATGCTTCCCTGTGTTTGTTATTTTGCCATTAAAATGTTTTTAATATCTGTAACTTAAATTCAACTGATTCATATCATAAATAGCAATGAAGCATCCATATTGGTTAGACTATAAGCTCCAAAGGATTCTGAGTTGAAGAAGTAGTCTGGGTCTTCAAGGATTTCTTAGTTAAATGTGTAAAAGATAATAGATACATGATAACAAATAGAAGTACAGAAGGTAAATACTGCAGGTGAAGCACACAAAGCTATATGATGGGGAGTGTGCTGCAGTGGGGATATAGCCTTTTTTTTTTCTTTTTTTTTGGGGGGGGATTGACATAAAAAAGGTGAGCTAACATGTATCTGCTATGTCATTAGCACCGTGCTAGATGCTTTACGTGTCAGCAGCCCTGAAAAGTGACCATGATTGCACCTCCTGAGAGGAGGCCCTCAGCTCTCTCTACAAGTCCCCAGTAAGGGAGAATATTGTGTGCCAATGGCAAATCTGAGTGAGGCTGTTCTGGAGAAGCACCGGCAGTGTGTCTGTGTCAGGCCATGTGTGCTCTCAGGTATGTGGTCATCACCAACACCGTACTTCATAACACACTGTGGACGGATCACGAGAATTCTTGCCTCATGCTACACAATGTTTTACCAAGTATCATACTTTAAAAAGATATTAACTTGTAAGAACATGTAATAAATAATTTCAAAATGCAATGGGTACTTAATTTTAAAGTGTGCCTTTAACATTTAAGTAAAATGTTTTTTATACTCAATCATTAGAAACTTGTCTGGCCACTGGGTAAAGCTAGCAATAAAACTATTGGTCTGCAATATGTTAAGACACACAGTAGTGCCCCTGATTCTGGAGGAATATGATCCAAGACCCCCAGTGCATGCCTGAAACTGCAGATTCCAGTAGTACCAAACCCTGTAAATTTCCTATACATACATAACTATGATAAAAATTTAATTTATAAATTAGGCACAGTGAGAGATTAACAATCCTATCTAATAAAAGAGTAATATGCAAATTGACCATACCTTGCTACACCCACAAGCCACGCCCACCAACCAATCAGAGCAAATATGCAAATAAACCCAACCAAGATGGCTACAGCCACAGAGAGCAGGAGGGAGGCTTGGGTTTCCCCAGCAATGGAGGAAGCCAAGCTTTCTGCCTACCCTTGCTGGCCTAGGCTTCCACTCAAGGCTACAAAGTTTCAATTATAGAAGATACATAAATCCCAGATACCGGGGCCCCTGCTTGGGTCACCAGGGGGTGTGGCCGGCCTTCAAACCACCATAGGCCCCTCCCCCAGGCCACCCCACACCCCAAGGGAACCCCACCCTGATCCGGGACACCCTTCAGAGCAAACCAGCTGGCCCCCACCCATGCATCAGGCCTCTATCCTATCTATTAAAGAGTAATATGCAGATTGACTATCATTCCAACACACAAGATGGCTGCCCCCATGTGGTCAAAGATCCTGCCCTTATGTGGACACAAGATGGCCACCACAAGATGGCCAGCAGAGGAGGTTCAGTTGAGAGGGACCAGGCCTTCAAGGCAGGGCAGTTGTGGGTGATCAGGCTAGCAGGCAGGGCAGTTGGGAGAGACCAGGCCTGCAAGGGAGGGCAGTTGGGGGTGACCAGGCTGGCAGAAGAGGGAAGTTGGGGGTGACTGGGCCTACAGGGAAGGGCAGTTGGAGGGACCAGGCCTGCAGGGGAGGGCAGTGAGGGGCAAACAGGCTGGCAGGGGAGCACTTAGACATCAATCAGGCTGGCAGGAGAGTGTTTAGAAGGTGATCAGGCGGGCAGGCAGAAGCAGTTAGGGACAATCAGGAAGGCAGGCAGGTGAACAGTTGGGATCCAGCAGTCCTGGATTGTGAGAGGGATGTCTGATTGCCAATTTAGGCCCTGTCCCACCAGGATTGGGCCTGAACTGGCTGTTGGACATCCCTGGAGGGGTCCCAGATTGGAGAGGATACAGACTGGGCTGAAGGACACACACACACACACACACACACACACCCTCCCCTCCCCTGCTCCCCCTCTCCCCCCTCCCTCCCGGTGCACCGGGCCTCTAGTGATAATAACAAAATAAGACAATTATAATAATACACTGTAGTAAAAGTCATGAGTGTAGTCTTTCTCCCTCTCAAAATATCTGGAATTTTCATTTATTATTTTCAAACCATGATTGACTACAGTTAACTGAAACCCAGAAAGTATGACTGTGAATAAAGGGGGACTGATATATTCTCTGAATTCCCCTGAGAGTATCTTGCCCACAGAAGCAATGTTCCCTCCTGACCAGGAGAGTCACCCATGTGGGGATGGCTATTACTGCCTTGGAGAGAACCCTGCCCCCTACTCCAGAGCCACGGGACGTGGGAGCAGTCAGTAGGCTAGAGCCCTTCTCTTCCCGCCCACGTGGCACGTGAGAGACCAGGTTCTTAGATGCTCACCTGAGCAAATCCAGTACACAGAGGACTTCCAGGCTTGAGGCCACCCTGCTCACTACGGATTCAGGCTGTCAGGGCATGGTGTCAAGCAGTTTTCTAGACCATCTATGGTGAAGGATCAGATCTGCCGCCCCTCCTCCCCCCTCCCCCTTTAATTTCAGATGGGAATTTTATAACATCCAATAAAAACACATTGTTAGAAAAAGGAAGTAAAAAAATACACGTCATAATCCCAATTTTATTATCAGGTTCTACAGACATAAAGTCACTATGTCAAATTGCTGAAAGATGTTACAGCTCTTGACACATACTGCTAATGGACAGAACAACCCAGTCTCCAGGCCACGTTTTGAGGAGCTCTGGTCTAAAGGCCTGGCAGGTAAAAGGAACCAAAAGCTTTCTTGAGAAAGGATTCACCTGAAGGCAGAGAGGGTTGAGGAACATGTTTTATTGATGAATTATGGACATCTGTGGTAGGGTGAATCTGAGCACGTTCTTGTCTACTACTCGGGTGCTTAGCAAAACCTAACGACGTTTTCTCACTAGTCTCAAGGGACACACTGACATTGTGTCCCATTTACAGCCGTGAAGATGGCTTCCTTAGCCTTCAGCTGCCCCCAGGCGTCCTTGTCTCTGTCAGCACCAGCAGCAATGGCCAAGGCTGGGGGACGAAGCTCATCCCAGAGAATAGAAACAAGAGCAAATGAAATTGGCAGGTGCCATGTGGTGCCTGCAAGCACTGGTTTCAGGAGTACCTGTAAAGGGACCTATAGGGACTCCCAGAAACATCTGGCTGGCGTTTAAGAGGGACTGGATTTTCCATAGAAGCAACAAGGATGGAACCAGAAAAGCGGTCCAGTGGGCTCGGGAACCTGTGGTCATTGCCCAAGTTCCAGAAAGCAACATTGGTAAAGGCATACGCAGCAACTGGCAAAATACCCACGTTGGTTTTCTGAGCCATGGCATGGGGGCTATCATGGCTAGGAAGGATGAATCTAGACCGCTGCCACTGCCTCTACCTAGAAAGATAGTAAACCAAAAGTAATGGAGGGATTTCAGAGATTAGTGCCACCATCAAAGGCTAGAGGATGCAAGGGCGGGGATCCCACATCCTCATTCTGCGTGCCTATTTGGCCTGTGCAGAAAATAGATGGCTCCTGGAGCATGACAGTGGATGATGACAAATTTAACCGGGGGGTGACTCCAATTGCAGCTGTGTCAGATGGGATTCCATTGCTTGAACAAATTAACACACCCCGATACCTGGTATACAGCAATTATTGATCTGGCAACTGGTGTTATTTTTTTTTCTTGGTATTTATTAGTAAAGGGCATCAGAGGCTGTTTATCTGGCAAGGCCAGCAATATACCTTTCACTTTCCTACCTCAGAGGTTGATCAGTTCTCCAGCCCTATGTTGTGATTTAGTCCATACAGACCCTGACCACCTTTCTTCCCACAAGACTCTCTCACATTGGTCCACTGCATTGATGTCATCATGCTGTTTGGACATAGGGAATAAGAAGTACCAAGTATTCGAGGCTTATTTGTAAGACATCTGTGTGTCCGAGGGTAGGAAATAAGTCCAACAAAAAATTAAGAGCCTGCTAATATTGTGCATGTCCCTATGTATCAGTAGGATAAACACCTCAAAGTGGAATTGTTGGGTATAAAGGTTAATTTTGTGTCAACTTGACTGGCCCTAGAATACCCAAATTAAACATTATTTTGTGTCTGTAGGTTATTTCTCTGGAGAACCCTAGTATCTGAAAGTTTGAGATTGTCCAATTGTCCCTCATAAAAAGGCGTAACAATTCTATAAACAGAGAATGAAAAAATGCCTCTCCTATAATTGAATATTTATTTCCCCATTGACTTAAGATGTCACCTTTTAAGTCCTCATGTGTCGTATTTTTCTGTGTATGAGATGCAATTTTTTCTAAAATCATTAGACTAAAAATTGAGGGAGCCGCACACATGTGTAGCTGCCTATACCTTGTGAAACAGGCTTCCTCCAATCACCAGCCTTATTGTTATTGATATCAGCTGATGCCGTAATTGGAGGTGGAGAGCTCAACAGGCACCAGCGTGTTCTGAGACCATAAAGATGTCAAAAAATAAATACCGATAAGCAATTGTCTTAACTCTGCAAAATTCAAACTGAATGTAATCATTGATGCAAAAGAACATAGAAATAAAGTTGCAGAGAGACAATTTGGACCTCCTCCCCCTGAGTGTTTGATCAGACAGTGGAGAAAACAGGAAGAACAATACTTTAAGATGCCAAAAAAGAAGAATGCCTTAAGAGGAGAACCAGCAAAATGGGCAAACTTGCAGCAGAGGCTGAAGACTTGGATTATGGAGCAGCGTTAGAGTGGCTTATGTGTGTCCGCTAAGCTTATTCAATATCAGGCAAGAATGTCCAATGAAATGAACATTGTTGATTTTACAGGAAAAGCAAAATGGTGCTTTCATGAGAGAAGGGAACACAAAGTTAGCTCAGAAAATGTCATCAGTTTATGAGGATGATCTCAGTGACTCAGAGGACAGCAGTGATACAATAGAAGTTGAAGAAATTGATGTATCTGGAACTAATTGTGAAGACAAGAGCAGTGATGCAACAGAGGCTGAATAAAATGGTATCCTCCATATCATAGTACGAGTATATAAACATTACCTGCAGTAATTACTAAATAAAAATGCGTTTTGTTTTCTGTTTAAATATTGATTTCTTGCCCTGACCCGTTTGGCTCAGTGGATAGAGCAATGGCCTGTGGATTGAAGAGTTCTGGGTTCAATTCTGGTCAAGGGCATGTACCTTAGTTGCAGGCACTTCCCCAGTAGGGGGCGGGCAGGAAGCAGCTGATCAATTTTTCTCTCTATCCCTCTGTAAAAAAAATCAATAAAATGTTTTAAAAAACAAAAATATTGACTTCTTAATTTTGGGTTGGAAAAGTGGGGGGCATCTTATATATGGAAAAATGCGATATGTATTAAGGTCTGTTCCTACGTTAGTCTGTTCCACTGATCTGTCCAGCTGTGTACCTAATTTAGTTTTATACTGCCTTTTCAAAACTTGAGATTTTCACCATATTTTTCCAGATGAACATAGAATTTGTTATACCCCTTCAAGTAAAAATTGTAATAATGTAAAAATTGTAAATATTTGCCATGCAGAGGTTAAGTATCACCACTTATTATCTTCTCTGGGGTTTTCAGATGCATACTTATTTGCAATTAAAATGTGCCACCTCATTTATAAAACACCTTCTTGTTTTATGAATCATTGAATTGGCAAAAATTTCCTGTACACCAAAAATCCAGATAATGGCAATTCTGGATTATAATTGGTATGTAACAATTAACTATGTATAGTTCCCTGCAGTTAAAGCATCTCTCTTGCCTCTACTTCTTTGTAAAGGCTTTTGTTCTTGCCCAATTCAAATGCCCCTCTTCTCTCTAAAAATAAAGCAGAATCTAATGCTAAATAAACAAATGTCCCTATTTTGTTTCTATAGCATCCTTTATCATAGCATTTTAGATGTTTCATTTACTGAACAGTAAGTTCTTTAAAGGTAGGTACCACAATTTAATCTCATTTTTTAATAGGATTTAAGGAGGGGAGAGAGTGAGGGAAAGCAGGCAGTGCCTGGCCCACTACCTCACTCCACAACTCAAGGACTACATTTGCACACATTCCATGTAAAATGCACCCCTGGAGCACAGAAATATGATGTGAATTGTGCTCCTTAAGAGTTTTACAATGTGGTAGTTCTGTGAATGGCAACAGGTTTTCAATGCATGTGTACTGAACTGTACCACGTACTGATTGTCAAAGAACCCAGGAGGAAATTAACCACCGTGAATGATGGACTGCATTCCTGAATATAAAGGGCAAATTCTAGAAATACCATACTAATTTCATAGATTAAATTAGGATCATGAATATTTATTTTCCTACTGATAGTTTATGCCACATAAAACTATCTCCAAACAAATATCCATCCACAAGATACACTCATTACTTATTCATGTGGTTTAAAGAGTGAATTAAGTAATTATATCTTTAAACTTTTGAAACTATAGTGTTCAAACTATACTTTTAAAAATATGATTTTATTTATACTCATGTATTGAAAAAAATGGCTGTATTATCATGTTTACATATGTTGTCAATATTGGGAACAGAGTTCAATAATGAATCATATCTAAATTTTACGAACAATGCACAAACATTAAAAGACTGATTGGTTATAGGAAGCAGTGAGTGGAAAATCATTAGCTATCATTTTTATTGAACATCAGCACCCTCTGAGAAGAATCACATCAAATTTGTAATATTCATCTATATTGCAAAATAATATATACACAAGAAAGGTAGTGATTGTACTGATTTTATTACTTTTACTAAGCCATTTTATGTCCCCACACTTAATGCAAAGAAATAAAATATGAAAAAAATATGTAATTATTACTCACAATAAAATAGATCTGCTTCTATCTGCAGGCCTGGCAGAATGTATAAGCACTTCATGGCTCAAGTGGGTCAAAGGACCATTTTGATTCTGACCCACCAAAGAGACTCTCATGCAGATTTGGGGATGGACTAACTCCATGGGAGCTGTGATAGACAGAACCATTTCTGTGGTATCCCCAGATCTCAGTGAATAAGACCTATACAAGAAAAGATAAACTGTCCATAAATTTTTAGTACAAGGTAAAAAAGGGACCCTTTTTTGGGTACATGGATATAAGTATGTTGTGGTCTGGAGACTGCGAGATTGATATCTATTCTAATGAAGATAGGTAGACATCAAAACCACGGTCAGGTTAAGAAACTTCTACAACTTGTCTCAATTCTTCAAATAATGGAGCAAGTTCCTTTTCTAAGCTGACAATTAGTCCTAAAACAAAGAGAAGAAGAAAAATTAGAACCTTAGAAAAAATGTTCATGAAAAAAGTCTTTGACTTCAATTCCCTTTGGTTGAAATTACTACTAAAAAGTAAAAAGTGAATGAGATATAGTTTATTCCCTGTAACTAAAGCAAAATATCCTAATTCTAAGTAAATTAACCAAAAAAACTCATATTCATGATGAACTTTCTTCCATGTTTAAAAGAAAGTTCAATGATGAATCTGGAAGACAACCTAGTCTAATAATAGCATGTCTAGCTTCTCCTTCATTTACCAGAGTGGAAGGCTACATATTGAAGACACTGCTCATTTTATGTCGAAAGTCATGCAAGGGGCTTGGCCCCTGCCGTGCCCCCAACCCGCTGTCGCGGTGGCCAGGGGCTTCTGCCTTGGTTCCCGCCTCTGCTGCAGCCACGTCCTCGGCCCCTGCTTCTGTCCACTGCAGCGGCTACCTAAGCCTTCTCAGCCCCGGCTTCGTCCAGAAAGTTGTCCGGTCTAATAAGCATATTATGTTTTTAGTATTATAAGATAAATATGAATCTTCTCCTTTCTCACAGAATATTAAAAGCATCTGGGATTCTCAAGGAAATGTTTTAGGCACTAAAATATAATTCTGTACAACATCATAATTTATAACAACCAATGAGTTAGTATGTGATTTATCACAATTACTATTTAATATACTTAAAATATTGATACCACTATCCTATACATGGGAGAGCAAATGTAGGTTTATAGTTGTGAGTACATGAATTAAGAGTTCATTCTAGTATTATTTATTATTGTGTTATTTGTATTACAACTATAAACGTACTTTTGCCCACCCCTGTATAATTTACAGTGTTTTCACATAGTTTATATTTTACAGCTTCAATAGATTAGAAATGGAAGAGAACTAATATATCATCAAATCTAAACCCCTCATTTTAAAGATCAGAAATCTAAGGACTGGCTTCAGTGACATAGACAGAAACAGAATTTGCTCTAACAATTCTAAACAGTGGTCAAATCTGAAAAAGACCCTAAAACAAACAAACTACTTAATCCAAAGGGAGTAAAAAATATACAATTCAACTAAATACTGTTTCTTTACACATAAATACTCAGTGAGGGCTACTGGGTATAATGGGATCTTACTATCCTCTGTGGAAAATATGGCTTTCTAGTGTTTGTTCTCAATTCCTCAACCCTCAGGAAGAATGTGATTATGTTCACCCTATTCACAATCCTCACAGTCATCTTGCTCATTATAGTCCAAGATTTTTAAAATTCTAATAGATTGGTCTATATGGAATTTAACTCATCCTTGACATTTTATTTTTGTTTGGCTCTCTATTCTCTTTTTGTTTTCTAACGGTCTTTTAATGTGAGCAAGACATAGCATTCAAGTGGTAAAGATAACATTTAATTTTCTTTTTATCTTAAAGGATAACTTACCTACACAAGCAGATATTAACTCCACTATACAAATATGGAAAACAAAGAATTTATTTTTTCAGAGGCAAAGACCTTACCCACAAATTCAGATTTTTTAACCCTAAATCTACTAATCCTATCAGATACAGTATCATAAACAATTAAAAGATGAATTTTATAGAAGGCAGCCAATCAATGATTCTCTCTTCATTGATATTTCTATATTTCTCTCCCTCTTCCTTCCTCTCTGAAATCAATATATATTTTTTAAAGCTGCATTTAATGTAATTAAAACACACCTGTATTGGCATTGCTGCTGGCTATGAAACTCACCACCAAAGGTAAACGATTAAACTGAACCACCTAAAAAGAAAAGAAGATCTAAATATTACGTTGTATTGTGAAAAGACAGTATAATTTAATGAATTATCTTAATCTTTCAAAAAACCTTTAAACGGTCAATGTGTAAGGTAACAGCCCAGGATCATGATATTACCTCATGAAATATGAAAGAGATGAAAATAAATATTTCCATGAAACAGAGTTACTGAGTATCTTTTAGAGACAACACCATTTAGCCTAGAAAGTTTTTAAGGTGGGACTGTGTCTTCATTTTTTTATCTCAAAGACCAGCAGAGTATCAATTACATAGTTTAATAATTTAATAATTAAATGGCTAAAGGAAGTATTTCTTATCCCAGTAACAGTATCTTCATGATTTTTCTGCCTCCTATGTACTACTATAATTTAAACAAATTTAAATTAACTTTAAATCAACTGTCTTTAACTTAGCTTCAATCTAATCTTTATCAATCAAGTTAAAGGCCAGATGGGTTATTTGTTTACCAATATACATTAAAATATACAACTTTTAAAATTAAAAGATGTTAATTGTGTAACATCAGTAGTACATAAGTCATACTTTGGTAAGCATCACTCAAATTAATCACATAAGTGATTGATTTATTCTAAAGAAATGTAGCTGGAGATCAAGAAGTGTGTAGCAACTAATTTCTTTCCCACAATTAATAACCTCACTTATTTATATACAGGGTGTCCCCCCAAAATATGTATAGTTCAATTTTGAAAATAAAATGTATTTTAATAAACAATGTCTTTACATTTTTTTCGAAGTGTGTGTATATCTCTCTTGGGACACCCTATATATAACTGTATATTTTCCATATACCAAATGAAGGAATTAGCTAAAATAACAAATTTAAATAACTTATCATTTGACTTTCAAGAGATATTTTTATCTGTCACCAACAACACAAGTGTCATTTGAGAAATCACAATTATTAAGCGAAGGGCACCATCTACTGGAGATAAGAGTGACCTGACTTACCCTTTCCAGGATAACATGTACTTTATTATACATCTTTTTAATTACTTCCATAGTAATTAATTCCTGGTGTTAAATTTGAAGAAAATCACTTCTGTGAAACATAACCCATTTGAAGGCTAAAATCTTAAAATCCCACCCCTTTCAAAACTCAAATTGAAAATGATAGCACAAGCTATTTTATATAGAAAACATAATAATAGTTGAAATCGGCAAACCATTCGATAGTTATGCACTTACCTGGTAGGTATTATAGTAACAGATGATACTTTTATTTTTTGAAAGTCCAAGTTTGCTCCCTTGGTCTGTTGCAAGGGCAAAAGTAGATAAGAAACCAGGTCTCAAAGCATGCTCTGGAGCATTATCATTGGCCACTGGAAATACAAATGATTTAAGTAAAAATTATGCAGTGGACATGGTAGAAAGATTTACAGCACCTTTTTAAGACATATATCTGTAAAAATATCAAACGTAAGAGTTCTGTTTCTGGCAAAACCTGTTTGGCTCAGTGGATAGAGTGTCGGTGTGTGGACTGAAAGGTCCCAGGTTCGATTCCGGTCAAGGGCACGCACATTGGTCTCGGGCACATCCCTGGCATGGGGTGTGCAGGAGGCAGCTGATCGATGTTTCTCTCTCATCGACGTTTCTAGCTCTCTATCCCTCTTCCTTCCTCTCTGTTAAAAATCAATAAAATATATTTTTTTAAAAAAGAAAATCACATTACTAACTAGGTCTCATTAATTCAGGTGTGAAAAACTACTGAGATGTGAGTGAGCGATCTTAACGAAGGGAACAAATGATGACTTTCACAATACTCTTTTATTTTTAAAAAGATTAAATGTTTATATTTCTTTAATATCAATCTACCTTAAAAACCAGATTAATCAGTAGATTTATATATTTTATTGAATGACTGATTTTGGAAGGAGGGGGGAGAGCGAGGTACCTCAAACTGTTGTTTCACTTATTATGCATTCATTGGTTGCTTCTTGTATGTGACCTGACTGTAGATCAATCCACAACGCTGGTGTTTCGGGAAGCCATTCTAATTAACTGAAGTACCCAGACAGAGCAATCAGTACATTTAATAAACTGAATATTCTCATTAACTGACAGCCAAACGAGAATTTTAAAAAAGTGTCGAAAAACTTTGCTCTCATAAAACCCATAGTTGTGTTGCTTATTGGTATTTTTTCGCAGCTGGCCAACTTTTTCCTTCACTCATTAAGTCATGGAGTTAGTTGTGCAAGTGTAAGGCTTTAACACAGAGATCCTCAGACAGAATATTAGAACTGGCGAATCTGACATTATTTTGTTTACAGTCTTCATTACAGAACTAAGAAAAGACAAGTGACTTGCCCATAGACACCTATGTTTTACAGTAAGTCAGAAAGCACACTGGGCCACACATCAGGAAATGATGGGTTCTAATATTATTTTGTTACTGACTCACATTGCAATTTAGAAAGAATGTACTGGACAATCTTCATTTATAAAACAAAGCAAATAAATTATTTCTAAACTTCCTTTAACTCAAGTCTAAAATTACCTGACATGTATGATAAACCCAGGTAATAAATCGGCAATAAAATGTTTAGAGCATTATTTACTTTCTTTGGTAAAGCTATTACAGAGTCCTAGTATAACTATATCCATCCATTGATGATACAAGAAATAGTAGTAAAATGTTCTTCATATTTACTAACTGTGACAGCATACACACATACACACACACACACACACACACACACACACACACACATACACACACAGGCTTAAATTAGGTAAAAAGTTCTGTTAGTCAGCTCTTCTTTAGGTAAAAAAATTCTTGTTAAATTCTGGTTAACTAAAAATTTTGTGAAACATAAAAAAAAAATTTTTAAATCTTATTTCCAGTAAAGTATATTATAGAACCAAGAAAGATTAAACAAAAACAACCAAAAGTATTTTGATTCAAACATATGGATGTTTATCCTAAAACTACTGATAAAAATATATATTGGAGGGGGGAGGGAAGGAGTCTTTATGTATAATATATCTAGCTGCATTCATGCCCAGCCTCATCACTTAAGAATTCCTAATGGTTTATATCAAGCAGGTCAAACTCAAAGGCTAACACACACTAAATAAACAAGGTTTAAGTTTATGTGTGCTGCAAAAAAACAAAAGCTTCAATTTTCATAGAAATGTAGATTTATTTCGATAAAGACATGCTGAATACAAAGGGCTGAAGTAAATGAGTAATCATTAACATAAAATAATAGAACATTTTAATAAAAATTTTTTCTTGAACATTCATTAACTTATCAGATGTTGAATAACTGCACAAATTATAATAAGTATAATGCAAATAAAACCTATTTTTCTTGTTCTCCAAAAATGAAATATTTCCTGTAGTGCATACCAAATAATGATGTGGCAATCGGCTACTAAAATATTCACTGCTAATATGATACCCATAAGGCGTGTAAAGGAAATAAATGCAATACGATTATAAATCAATCATTAGCAAACATTGTAGTTTGTTATTAATAATTATGTATAACGGGATATTGTAAAAATTAAGTTATGAAATTTTTATTAAAACCTTTCTTACATAACGTTATACTGGCTGGGCCAAATAATATTCATTGTGGACCACAAGTTTGACATACTTGATTTATGTCTTTACCATGATATGTCTTTAATGGGAAACTGGGCCTGTCATTAAATCCATACTGAATGGCAACATGATACATTTAACATGTAATAAGTTAGTTTCAATACAGCCTTCAACAAACAAAAGCAAACAATTCCCCCCAAAGACCTTCTCCTAAATTCTCTGAAATGGGTTTCATATGCTTGCTTCTGTACTACTCAGAAGTAAGTACATCTTTATTCTAAAGCAAAAAAGACACCGGCATGTTAAGTCCTCAGTTTTACCTTTAATAACAGGCACACCGTCTCTGTCTGACACAACAATAGCATGAAGCCCTTCAACACTAGAAAGGAAAAATATATAAAACATTTCACTTTCTGAAAATGTGTACCTCCAAGTCATAATGATAATTTTTATGTGTATTTCTGAAAAACCATGGAAACTCAATTTTTGACAGCATAAACTACTGTTTACTAAAATTCTTTCAGAAATTAAATGACTGTGTATCACTGACAATATTTATAATCTTTACAATTTATATAGTTTATTGATGAATAAGAGCTAAAACATAGCTGATTCTCCATTAAAATTGCTAATTATTCTGTGGTTTATAAAAGTATGACAGATTATCAGCAGTGGATACAATGGCAAAGACAGACTTTCCTTTCATTCATTCTACTGAAGAGTGCCCAATATTTTGGCACTGAATATTTATAATACCATGCTAAGCAAAAATAAAGTCACTGTCTTCACAAAACTTACAATTTAAAAGGAAAGTAACTATCCATCAAATAATCTTGCACTAACAAATATAAAGCTACAATTGTGGAAAGTGCCAATTAGGTGGTTTGTGGGGATATGATAGTCAATAACACAGAGGAGAGGGGAGGACCAAAGTGGGTCAAGGAAGGCTTCCCTGAGAAAGTAAAAGCTCGGCTTAAATGTTATGGCACTGATTAAGAGAAGGGCACAAAGATCACTCAAAGCTGAAGAAACTGGATGAGTAGAATGTATGTTACTCAGCAATCCTTTTAGCCATCCTATATAATAAAAGGCTAATATGCAAATGACCAAACTGGGGAATGATAGGTCGCTATGACGTGCACTGACCACCAGGGGGCAGATGCTCAATGCAGGAGCTGCCTCCAGGTTGTCAGTGCCCTCCTACAGGGTGAGTGCTGCTCAGCCAGAAGCCTGGCTCATAGCTGGTGAGCACAGCGGGGGTGGTGGAAGCCTCACCTGCCTCTGTGGCAGCACTAAGGATATCCCACTGCCAGATGTCCAGGCCTAAGTCCGCAACTTGTAACCCAGAAGAGGGCCTTAACCAGAACCCAGCCATGCTGGTACCCTGATCTTGGGACTTCTAACCTCTATAGCTAGAAGAAATAAATTTTGATCATTTACATATAAGAAATATCCAGCCTGGTCAGTGTGGCTCAGATGGTTGGATGTTGACCTGTGAACCAGGAGGTCATGGTTCAATTCTCAGTCAGGGCACATGCCGGTATTGCTGGCTCAATCCTCAGAAGGGGGTATGCAGGAGGCAACTGATCTATGATTCTGTCTCATCTATTGATATTTTTATCCCTCCCTCTCTGAAATCAATAAAAATAAAAATAAAAGAAATATCCAATCTATGGCACTTTGTATTATAGCAGTCTAAGACCTCTATGTAGTATACACACAATTATGTATGTTTATAATACATATTTGCCTATAGGTAACAATGGGTGCCTATGAGAGGGGAACTATGGGGTTGAAGGGCAGTGATGGGAAAGTTCTCATTCTATACCCTTCAATTAACTCTTGAAAAGTGAACTTTATGAATGTATTGCCTACTCAAAACATAAGCAAATTAAAAAACGGGTAAAGAGTACTACAAAAATGATTTAAAAATCTGTGTCACTATAGATACCTTTTTTCTTTCAACAGTAGTTAACTTAAATGCCAACTAAAGCACCAAAAGAGGAGGTAAAAATTAAGATCTCTTTTAATGGATTTCAAATTCACAGAAATAACTTGTCCAACGAAGTATAAAAATTACATAAAGTAACCACTTAAAAGAAATCAGGTCACAAATATAAAAGGCGTTTCCCATTCTATACGCATTTAACAAAGAATAACCGGAATAGATTTTTACAATAACTGAAAATAAATATAATGCATTGATAGGTACATTATACTTTTAGAATAAATGAAATTGTATGAAATATTCTGCAAAAATCTAAATCTTACACTTACTAAAACATTTTTTAACAGTTTTTTTTTATTGATTTCAGAGAAGGGAAAGGGAGAGAAACATCACTGATGAGAGAGAATCACTGCCTCCTGCATACCCCCTACAGGGGATCCAGCCTGAAACCTGGGCATGTATCCTGACAGGGAATCAAGCCGTGACTGAGCAACACTGGCACTAAAACATTTTTATCTCCCCTCTCCCCAAAAGCAAATGTTACACTGGTAATCAATGACATCATACTTAGCCCTAGCCGGTTTGGCTCAGTGGATAGAGCATCATCCTGCGAACTGAAAGGTCCCAGGTTTGATTCCAGTGGAGGGCACACGCCTGGGTTGTGGGCTTGATCCCCAGTGGGGGACTTGCGGGAGGCAGCCAATCCATGATTCTCTCTCATCATGGATGTTTCTACCTTTCTCGCCCTCTTCCTTCCTCTTTGAAATCAATAAAAATATATTAAAAAGATGACATAGTTTTATTAATATAATAATGAAATATTTGGTTATTTTAAAACACAAAGTTGTGACTATTTAAGCCTGAGACTGCTTGAGTCACAACTAGATTTAAAAATACAAATCCAAGAACTATATTTAACAGAGAATTAAAAAATAAAACAAAACAAAACTAACTTGGTTGAGAGCAGTACATTTAAAAGCTAGGCTGCCTGTGTCCAAACCCTTAACTTACATACATCTAGCAACAAATCAGTGTGTATTCTAATATTTCCTTTATAAATGTTCAATAATATTATTTCTCCATTCTTTTGGCTCTTGGGTTGCAATATGCATACCACATCAAGAAGAAATAGTCACGAATATGAATTAAACTAGCCTCAGTCATGATGGAAAAAGAAACACACCATTTTGTACTAAGCCTTTTCTTTCCATTATGAAAAGACTTTATGTTTTTACAAATATCCTTCTTACAAATATCAGCTATACCTCCATTTCTGTATTTTGTCATCAGTGTGATAGTCCTCTTCCCATCACCAATTTTAGCATCCTTTCAATATGCTAAACTTCTAAGAAGGCAAACACAAATACAGAAAGCCCTCATTTTTGTAAAATTCTATTTTAGAAACATTTTAATTGCCAGATTATATAGCACCATTTCCCCTCAACAGCATGTGTCAAATTTCTGTAAGTATATTAACTGAGTAATTATAGAGAATACAAACTTCACTATCTCTTTAGTTCACACATTACTAATAACTGAAATAACAGATATACATTGTGATCAATAAGTAGTCACATCACTTTTTTCAAAGAGTGTTGGTGATTGATCACTGAGCATCTGTTGTTTATACAGAGAACAAAACATGCAGTGTTATCTCATTGTCCAATGATACTAAAAAACTAACTGAAATGAGGCCAATAAAGATGAAATATAGCAAAGAAACGAAAAGTGAATATGGGAAAGTGAAATCTGAATAGAAATTAAATGGAGTTAGAAAAGAAACAGCTGGCTAAGAGGTTGACATTATCATTGTTCTGCACAAAATGTACAGCCAAAGAACTTAGTGAAGATGGACTTATTGACATAAATGAGAAAGCAGTTGTGATGAAAAGGATAAAGATACCCCAGAGGAAATGACACTGGCAAAAACGCTTCCTATTAAAGAACTCTCAGAGATATTTCACAACACTGGACAAAATGTTGAAAGCTGATATATGGAAAGAAGTAGGCAAACACTGTTCAAACTACTCCTGATAAATTGTGTTTTTTTTTACACAGAGAAATAAATGTACTCTTGTAACCTCTCTAGGCCCCATGTTTTTTATCTGCAAATTCAAAGGATATCATTCATGCTACCTAGGGCTATGTTAGATAAAGTGCTAAACAATAGAATTATTTACACACAATATTTAGTCTAAGATAGCAAGAAACGAAATGCTACATAAAATTAACCTGTTATACAGAATTTATTTAATGACAATAATTTTTTTTTTACCTTGGTAACTTTTTATACAGGAATCGCTTTAGATCCTGAAAGAGAACATAAACAAATGATTTAATAACATGCTTTATACTAATTCTTTAGATCCTGCCCTATTCACATTTCAGGGACCTTACATCATCATTCCTAACCTTCCCGTTTGTTTTCCTTCCCTTTCTGATTTTAATACTTAATGGTTGTTTGACTTTAAGCAAGTTAACCTTTTTCTCTTAAGCCTTAGTTTCATTATTTGTTGAGCACAACCTAGGTCTTAAGACATTTTTAAAGTTTATTGAGAAGATGCATGTAAAGTGATTAGCATATCTAGAAATGGGAAACACAAATATATATTAGCTGTAAAATTAGGTCATGTTTTCATATTATTTCAAATCCTATTGCTATTGTGTTCACTTGAGAATATAATATGAATATCTTTCCATCTATACACATCACTAACAATCCTGGGTAAATTCATTTATTTCTCTGAAATTTAATTTCCTCACATGACAAAATATATGATGTCAAGTGTTTAGCATGTGACATAATTATGACCAAAAAAAACCTATTTTACTTTGTTTTAATACACTTTCTCATCTGGGGAATTTTATTGATAAGCAGGTATCAATTAAGAGCTCTACAAAGATAAATAAGATACCTATTGTTTTGAACCTCTAAACCCTACAATTCTCCAAACCTTAATGTTCATTGTACTTCATGTTATCACCACCAGTTTAGCTTTCTTCTCATTTTAAACATGCACAAGAAAATCTCAACTTATCAAGGTGTCATCTAAAATCCAAATTTCTCAATCATTTTGTTCCCACTAATGGCACTACCAACCCCATTATTCAGGTTAGAAGCTATGAGTAATAGTTAACCCTAACCTCACATTTGTCACTTTTAAATCGCCTGTGAAGTCACATGTTTTTAAACTGATTCCTTCTCCTTTTCAACAGTCATTACAGTTTACTTTCATTTCATTATTTATGACTTGCACTAACCTCCCAATTGGTATACTGGTCTCATGTTTTTATCCTATGCAGTTCTACATAGTGCCAAGAGTCCAATTTTCCTCCTTCTCTAAAGCCATAATTGCAATGATTTTCAACCTTTGCTATGGGTAACATATGAGGAGCATTAATAAACACACACACACACACACACACACACACACACACACTAATGCCAGAGTTGGAGGTGCTCCCCCGATGATTCCCTGTGCAGCCGGTTCAGAACCAATGTCTGAAAGGCTCTCAACTCTATACTGAACTATGTACAAACTAGAGGCCCAATGCATGAAATTTGTGCAAGGGCCTTGGCTCCCCCCTCTCCAGTGGTCACCTCTGCTTCCGTCCCGCCCACTGGGGCTTTGTCCAGAAGGAAGGACTTCTGGAAGGACGTCCAGTCTAATTAGCATATTATGCTTTTATTATTATAGATTCTTTAGACATTTGAGACTCTACAAACATGGCCTATGAGTAAGTTTACAGCCATGCTTCCAACCATTCCCTCATACATACACTTAGCCCCTACTAAACTGGGCTATTCACAGCTCTTCCATACATACCTCTCACTTTCCTAAATCTGCTTAGATTATTCATTCTTGTAGTAATATCCTGCCTCTCTTTTTAAAAAGTTGCCACTCATTATTTAGAGCTACTATTATCAACCACCAAATACTCCAAACAGGCTATCCTGACAGACACAAACCAGAGGTAATCACTTGAAGTTTTCACACAGTAATGTATGCATATCTATGATCCCTAGCATAGCATTTTTTTTTAAGTTGTAAAACTCTGAAGTAGAGGAATTATACCTTAATCTTCATTATTTCACCCTCAGCCCTTATGACAGATAGCTTTGCAAGACAGATACTCAATAGATAGTGATTTGGTTTTGCCTAATAAGGTCTCAAAAACATAATGGAAGACATCCAAAAATGGAGAAGTAAGGGCATTAAATATTGCTTAATATTGAAACACATAACCTTGCAATCTGAAAAGAAACCAGATTCGTCTTAATGCTGAATGACTATTTAATGTAATGGTTAAGAGCATGGACTCTGGAGCGAAACTGCCTGAGTTGGTATCTGGACCCCACAAGAACTAGCTGTGTAACCTGAGGCAGGTTACCTGATCTTTCTGTGCCTTATCATCATTTACAACACAGCGGTGACAGTGCCTACCTCACAAAAGTTACAAGAAATGAATATATGTTCAGTATTTAGAACACCCAGCATGTACGTAGGCAAAGTAACAGGAAGTAAAACATAGCCATTACTATGAGTATTAATGTCCTGCAGTTTCTAGTAACTAGCACATGTACCTAAACTTAAACTTTGACTTTTGTTACTGTGTTGAAGAGCTGTCATCTGGAAATCAACTAAAATGGCTACAATGAACCTAGAAAGACACCGTGACCACTTGCTGGGGGGGGGGGGGGGGGAAGGATTCCGAGCAGCAAACCACAATTTAGACACTCCAATGGCAAATGTTCAGAGCCTCTTATGCCCACAGGATTTGGGGAGCACGAACAGGCAACTCGGTGTCCTGCACCCCCATTCCAAGACCTACTCAGGACCCCAGCAAATCCATCCACATTAGTCCCTCACTGCAGAGCCTACAGAAAATAATTACGGGGCTGGAGCTGGGGCTGGGGTGGGGAGCAAAACGAAACAAATTTCTACTTGGGAAGCGCTACCTCTCCCCGCCCGGTAGCCTCCTCCAAACTCTCCACCCTCTCCTTGCTCTGGGGCTGGGGGGTAACTCACATCCGCCATGACGAACCCCTTTCTCCCGCAGGTTCGATATCCACGCCTGAAAAAGAAACTCCTGGTGACTCTCCCGTCAACATTCCCTCGCACCCCGACCCTAACAAGCGGCAAGAACACGCGCCTCTAGGACGTGGGGACAACCGATATGCCTCAGCCCACTCCACCTCCCCAACCCCCGGGGTCTCAGTCCAAAGCGCCCACTCCTCTTCCAGCTCAACGCCCGCGCCGCCCGCGGGCCCAGGCCCGAACACCCGGCAAAGTGGCCCAGTTACTTGGCTCTCTGGCAGCAAGGTTCGCGGTTGTCCGCTGCCTCTTCAGGGACCAGATTCCAAGACAGGTTCCTCAGCAAGCCGCCGTCACATGACTTGTGACCTCCTCGGTGCCCCAGGAAGTACTCCCTACGCCCCCGAAGCGCGTGGACACGGCACTTCCGGGGCGGGGCAACGCACGCCGTGCGTGCGGGCTGGCGTCGCGCTCCGCCCCCACACCTCCGGCCCTCCGCGGGCCGCCGCCTCCTGCGCCTGCGCAGACGCCAGGGGGCGTGGCCGCTGGGATCCCCGCGGTCCGGGTTTGCACCGGGTCGCTGCGAGTTTCCCCACTGTAGGTCCAGCGGAGGCGTTTGTCTTGTGCGGAGTGTATGATTTACACCCGCTTTTTGGGATCCGGCATCCTAAGGCCTTTCCTTCCGTTGAACAAATGTGCAGGTGTGAGTAGCAGCAAGCACCAGGCTGCCGGTTAGGAGTCCCATGGTTTCCCCGTCTCTGGGCTTTCCCCTGTTGGCCCCCTGGCAGGCATATTCGGAACCTTTCCCCTGCACGCAGGCCTGGCCCCCATGGCTCCCCGCTCGGGGTCCTGCCCTTTCAGCGATTCTCCTGTTATTCTCATTTCAGGGGCCACGGAAGACAGCTGACCCGCTGAGAAAAGCAGCTCTAGGCCCGGTTTCCCGCCACCGCCGGCACCTCTCCCTCCTCTCGCTTGCTGACACGGATAAACCGTGAGAGAATGTAATAAAATTCCTTAAACTCTCACAAGGTCTCTTGGCCTGGCTCCTTGTCGGCGGGGACCTAACTGTTGGGTGCTGAGACCCAGGATACACAGAAGGAGACCGCAGGTTCCCCCTCCAGGCTGCAGGCTACTCCAATCTCCAGTAAGAGTTACTGCCCTTGACCCGGGGCGCGGAGCTAGGGTTCACTTCCGGTCCCTGGCTGCCCTGGAAGGAAAGGATGTGGTTGGTGCAGCTGGAAAGCCTGCTGGGCTGCTACCTCCACCCTCACCTTTTTTTACAGCCTCCTTAAAGTGGTCAAGGTCATGCTATCTCTGTTAAAAAAAAAAAAAATGTATCCGCAAAATGGCCAAAATTATAATTGGCTTTGCAATCTCATAGAGTTGTTAAGAAAATAAATGTAACTGAAATGAAGGGTTTTGATAAAGTTTTTCAGTTCTTTACTCTGTAGTCATCCTCTCTTGTCATATTCCTCCCATCAGATCCTACTCCTCCATGCCAAGTCCCCTTCCAACAGCCCTGGACCTTTCCACCCTACCCTGAGGCTTCTGGTCAGTCCTTCTGCACCTGTCTGGCCCCTCAGACCCTCCCTCCAATCCCTCCATTCATTCTGTCCTCCCTTCCCTCTCACCCCCCCAACCCCCCCCCCCCCAACACTCCTCCGAAGGCCCCTGTGTCTCTGGACTCCACCTCTTCATCCACCCCTCAGCCTTCTTACTGAGCCCCATGTCACTCATTCCTGGATAGCCCAGCCTCCAGCCCTTACCAGCTTCTGTACTGCAGACCCTTCCTACTTGGGAACATCCCAACCACCTCTAGCCCTTTGTGGGGTTCTCTCTCCACCCTGGACCCGGAGACTGGATATTCTAGCATCCAGCAGCCCGGGGACCCTAAAGCCCAGGTGGACGGGCCCACACCAGGTACTTCTGACCACACCGAAGGCGGCCAAGTTACAGGGATATTCTTCCTCACTCCACTCCTCTTCAGTTAAAGTGAGCCCCTGCACCCCAGGCTCCACCAGTCTGTTTGTATTGGAGTGTCAGCCTCGGACCAACCCACCTCAAATTCACAAAAATTCCCAAGGAATTGTAAGCCCCGGGCCTTTACCTAATCCCCCGTAAGCGAGACCCCCTCCCACCCCCATTGCCCCTTACTGCTCTATCTGTACTGGTCCCTGCCTCACTGGTACTCTGCACCTCATAGCAGCTGTTCCTCTCTCAGCACCCAACCTCCACTGAATCTTACCTCTTGTCTTTCCTGTGGGACACATTCCTCCCAGAGGAATTTCTTGATTATTCCTGGGAACAGATTACAATCTGGTCAAACCTGTCCCCGTGATTGACCAAGATACTATAAAATCTTCCCTTTTCTAGTGCCTGGTCTTCCTGTGGGTCATCCTTATCATTCTTGATCTTCTGATGTCACCTGGCTGGAACTACGCTTAACACAGTTAGGGTTGTATGATAATCTCCTTAATCCTTCTCCCCTTACTCTGTACTCAGATTTACCCCATACCTCTAAAAAAAAACCCTCCTAAGACCTCACTTTCTCTCTCGAACCCTAGACCTAACATATCTTCTCATCATAACCTGTTTTCCCCTCTTTTCAGCTAGCTACATGGCAACCCCAACCTCCCTACATGCATGGGCCAACTCTAGTCTATCTTTCCACTACAAAGTACATGGAGGACTCCCATTCCAACTCATGCACCTCGATAAAATTTATAACTTCAAAATCACAGAATTGACTAAAGGAACACTCACAGGCAGGGCTGTACAGTTACTCCAGTCATACTTAAACAACATAACCCAACACCATTCCAACAAAGTCCCCATCTTAAGACCAATAACTACCAACACCATCTTAGTATCTCAGGCCCCTCTCTGCATCAACAGGACATACCCTGCAGGAAAGGTTTTAGGATACCTTGAACAATGCCTATGCCACTTTACTCTTGAAATTCAGCTCTCTTTCAAGCGCTGGGCAAGCTATGTACTTGCAGCCTACTTCTTAAAGCCTGTTCAGTTCTCAGCCTGGCCTACCATCTCAGCAACCTTCCCAACAACCCACGCCTCCCACTTCTGTTCAGGTCGACCTCTTTCCTGCGTTAACTACTTCCCCTGGCAAGATTGCAAATCACAGTCACGTTCTAACTGCCGCCAGATCCCCTCCCATGGCCTCACACACTCCAAATTTTGGGTAGACACTGACAGAAAATACATATTTTTTGAGAATACCACCACGGGGGCTACCCAGGTCAATCCTGGAAGCCCTTTTCAGCTCCTTACAAGAGCAACCTTAGCTGGAACTCTTTCTGTTTGGGAAAATGAAAACAATAAGCTCACTCACCTCTTCACCATTGAAAAAAACTTCTGCTCAAAAAAATCAAGGAATCTTGTTATTGTGTGGTACCAATACCTATTTCTGTCTCCCAGCCAACTGGACTGGGACCTGTACCCTAGTCCATCACCCCTGAGATAGACATTGCCCCTAATAACCAGTCCTTTAAGCTTCTTCTCACCGCTTACTCTGGGAACAGGAAGGACAAACTAGATGGTAGGGCCTCAAAATTCCAACAACTTTCAGAATCCTGGGCATCTGGCCACAGAATTTAAACTGGCTTCTACCTTTATTTATTTATTTATTTATTTATTTATTTATTTATTTAATATATATATATATATATATATATATATATATGCTATTGATTTTTTTACAGAGAGGAAGGGAGAGGGATAGAGAGTTAGAAACATCAACAAGAGAGAAACATGGATCAGCTGCCTCCTGCACAACCCCTACTGGGGAGGTGCCCGCAACCAAGGTACATGCCCTTGACCGGAATCGAACCTGGGTCCTTTCAGTCTGCAGGCCTACGCTCTATCCATTTACCAAACTGATTAGGACCTGGCTTCTACCTTTAGTTGGATCCCTCTTACTGTTCTTTCTGGCACTGATCTTTGACTCATGCATCCTAAGAGCCATTTCTTCCTCCAAAACTACATCCAGACTATCACCAATAGATCTATAGGGGAAATAATGCTTCTCCAGTCCTACATTAGATATCATCCCCACCCTCAGTCCCTGACTAAGTAGGGCCAGCTCTAAGCCCCACCTGAGCAGGAAGAAGCTGCAGAAGAATGAGATCAACCTCCCTCATCAGCCCCAGTTCACAGAAGGAAAATAAAAGGATAGAACGTTAGGCATATTCTGAATCATTCCCCTGCACTAGGTACTTTTCCATTATACCACACTTGGATCTCGTGCTCTCTCTGCGGTTTTTCTGTTATTATTTCAGGTGTCACAGAGAAAGCTGAAGGGCTAAGAAAATCAACTTTAGACCTGGATTCTTGTGCCTGCATCCAGTTCCCAGGGACCTTCATGAGAGGCATAAATATCCCACCATCCCTACTCTTGCTTGCTGACATGGCCATACTGGTCTCGGCCATACTTTGAGAGGATGTAATAAAATTTCTTAAACTCTCACAAGGTCTCTTTGCCTGGTTCCTATTGGTGCGGACCTAACACCACCTACTGCTCTTTACTTCTGGCCTTGTCTGGAGTGACTTGAGGAGCCATGGGCTTTATGGAGTTCTCACAATTATCTGTGTAACTCAACATATGCAGATATTGGACAACCTTCTTTCATAGGCTCTTGTATTAGAAGGCTGTGCCTGTAAGGAATGCTATTACTTTTTTTTTTTTTTTTTTTGGAGCCTTGTTGTTTGCACATTTTACAGAAACCTACGGTAGATAGAAGGAAATGAAGTCTAGAGGAACTTATTTATGACTGGTCTTTAGTTCCAATCCCTAGCAAGTATAAAAATAATTAACTCTAGCCCAAGATATGGTGAAAAGAATTGGATATTTATTTTCTATTATTCCTGAGAAGAAGAAATAGCACATATGTTACAAATGACTTTCATTATAAGTGAATTTAGCAGTTTTATAGCAAATGACCTGATTGAAAATCACTTCCTTTTCTTTATTTAAACCCTTAGCATCT